ACACAATTCTTGGTTGGAACCCATTTTCTTTCAGTGTTTGAAATATGTTATTCCAGGATCTTCTAGCTTTCAGAGTCTGTGTTGAAAGATCAGCTGTTATCCTGATTGGCTTACCCCTAAATGTGATCTGCTTCCTTTCTCTTGTAGCTTTTAAAATTCTCTCCTTATTCTGTATGTTGGGCATCTTCATTATAATGTGTCTAGGTGTGGATCTCTTATGATTTTGCACATTCGGCGTCCTGTAGGCTTCTAGGATTTGGGATTCTGTCTCATTCTTCAAGTCTGGGAAGTTTTCTCGTATTATTTCCTTGAATAGATTGCTCATTCCTTTGGTTTGGAGTTCTGTACCTTCCTGTATCCCAATGACTCTTTAGTTTGGTCTCTTAATGTTATCCCATATTTCTTGGATGTTCTGCTCATGGTTTCTTAACAGTCTTGCTGAGCTGTCTATGTTCTTTTCCATTTGAAATACTTTGTCTTCATTGTCTGATGTTCTATCTTCTAAGTGTTCTACTCTGCTGGTAGTATTCTCCATTGAGGTTTTAAGTTGGTTTATTGCTTCCTGCATTTCTAGGATTTCTGTTTGTTTGTTTTTTATAACCTCTATCTCCCTGTATAGTTGATCCTTTGCTTCCTGGATTTGTTTGTGTAATTCATTGTCGAAGTGATCTTTCATTGTCTGATTTTGCTGTCTAATGTCTTCCTTGATACTCCAGATCATCTGAAGCATGTATATCCTGAATTCTTTATCTGACATTCCATCTGCTGCAGCTGTTACCTCTTCTAAAGTTGAGTTGACCTGCATTGCTTGTGGTCCTTTCTTTCCTTGTCTTTTCATACTGCTTGTGTTTCTTTCTGCTTGGTGAAACTGTTGTGTTTTTGAAATGTTTTTTTCCCCCATATATTTATATTGCTCTTGTATAGTTGAAAAGTCTCCCTTGCAGGGTCGGGCGGCGGTCTGCCTACCTTGCAGGCGCGGGCGGGGGCTCTGCTCTTCCCCTCCTCCAATTGGTGTGAGGTGTCTACCACGCCCGCGGACCCCTGGGCCTGTCCTGCCGGTCGGTCGCAGGTCTGCCTACCTTGCAGGCGCAGGCGGTGGCTCTGCTCTGCCCTTACTCCAATTGGGGTGACATGTCTACCACGCCGGCGGGTCGCTGGGCTTATTCCGGGCTCGGAAGGCGGCTCTGCTCTGCCCTTACTCCAATTGGGGTGTCGTGACTACCACGCCGGCAGGTCATTGGGCCTGTTCTGGGCGCGGGCGGCGGCTCTGCTCTGCCCCTAGTCCAATTGGGGTGACGTGTGTACCACGCAGGCAGGCCGCTGGGCCTGATCCGCCTGTCTGTCGCAGGTCTGCCTACCTTGCAGGCGCGGGCGGCGGCTCTGCCCTGCCCCTCCTACCACACCCGCGTACCACTGGGTCTCAGGTCTGCCCACCTTGCGGGCGCGGGTGGCCTAGATAAGCTTTTCTATACTGAATTACATTCCCAGCCATATTTTTTATTTATATCAAGGAAAGACAGCAAATTATCCACAATTAAGAAATTAAATAATTTTGCATATTCCCTTCCAGATCATTTTTGTCAGAGCTGAAGTTTAATTCATCCAGAAAAAAAAAAATTCTTACATATGCCATTCAATTTTTTTTTTTTACTTATTGATAGACCTTTATTTTATTTATTTATATGCAGTGCTGAGAATCGAACCCAGTGCCTCACACATGCTAGGCAAATGCGCAAGACCCTCAGCAATTTAGGAAGTCCCTGTCTCAAATTAAAAACTAAAAAGAGCTGGACTCAGTGGTAAAGCATCCCTGGATTCAATCCCCAGGTTCTCATTGTCTCAGGTTTTGATTTCAGCTACTACCTTCTGTTGATGGATTCCAAATTGTCTCTAGTACTATAAAACCCAATAGTAAGAGATAAAGTATAGTGATGACTACATATATAAGGCTACCTCTGACCTCATCATGTTATAAAGAAACACCTAAATTGCAGTCTGAAACAAAATGCAAAATGTATTAACATAAACCATTAAATTTGTTTTAAGTGCAAAAGGCAATAATTTTTAGATGCAAGACATTTTTATCTGCATCCAGTACTGATCTGGTAGCTCAGGGTATTGGGTTTCTTTTTTGTTTGCTATTGTATCTAACTATACCAATATTATCAAATAAAAACAATATTACATTGTATTTGTCAGAGATTGTCTTCTAGAATTTAGTTAAAGTAAATTTTAAAATGTTTTCTTTATTTTATCAGGAAATGTTAAATATTACTGAAAATTATATTAAATATGAATTTTATGATATAATATTCAATAAGAAAAAGTTTTAACTTTATGTAATCTCTTCATCATATATCCTACAAAAATTATGTGTGATTTTCAAAATTTTTCAAGCTTCTCAAAAGTGATTTACATGCTTTTAATAACTGGGAAATACATAAGTACCATGTCACAAGTTTCCCCCTTATTTTATAGCTGAGAAACCGGGGTTCAAAGGAATTGAACAGTATGGGTCAGAACAAACCTAATATATGGCAGATTCTAGATTAATATTCAGGATGATCTGATTCTAAAATTCATATTCTTAATCACTCTTTCTAGTGATTTCTTGTGGCTATGCTTATACAGCAGTGAGAATGTGGGAGGGAAGTCCGAGTGGTGTCTCAATCCTAACCCTAATCAATAACCAGTGGTGATAGTTAAATAGACTGAAATTTTGATAAGAAAGACTCAAAGGTGATGCTAAATGTTGGAGGCTTCTAGCTGAGAGGTTTGGGAAAGGAGTATTGCTACAATAAAAATAAACTAACAAATAAATAGGACAGGAATTTGATTTAGGTAGAAAAGTATGAGATTAATTTTGACCTTAGTAAATCAAAGTTAGATTAAGGCGTGCAAATAGCACTGTCACAGACACTTGAAAATACAGAGCTGAGAGACTGTTCAAAGTCAGGACTAAAAGTGTAGATTTGGAATCCATCAACAGAAGGTAGTAGCTGAAACCAAAACACTGGACAATGAGAACCTAGAGAAGGAAAAACATGTGATCTAAGCCTTGGAAAACACCTCCTCTTGGGGATTTGAGAAGGAAAAAATGTAAGCAGAAGGAAAAAATAACAAAATAAAAAAATAAGTTAAAGAAGAACCAAGACCACTCAATCTCCTGAAAACCAAAAGAAAAAGTCTAAACAAGGCTGAAATTTGTTGAATTTATTTTGTGTGAATTATTTAACTTCATAATCACTCAGGGATGTAGATTTCATACCTCTCTATTGACAAATGAGAGAACACAAAAGCTTAGCAAGTTTAAGCCATATGCCCATTACTTGGCTGTTAAGGAGTTTGGGGTCAAAAACTGGAATCCATATCTCCCAGCTTCTGGAGACAAGTGGTCTCCACAGTGCACAAAGTAAAATATTGTGGTGTGTGAAAAAATCTTAAAAATTCTGATGATTGACTGGGTACAGTGGCACACACCTGCAATCCCAGTGACTTGGGAGGCTGAGGCAGGAAGATCACAGGTTCAGGCCAGCCTCAGCAACTTAACAAGACCCTCAGCAATTTAGGGAGACCCTGTCCAAATTAAAAAATAAAAAGAGCTGGAGGTATGGTTCAATGGTAAAGTACCCCTGGGTTCAATCCCCAGTCCCCCCAAGAGGAGTGTATCTCGTACACTCAAGAGGAGTGTATCTCATTCTTTAAAAATTTTGTTTTTGAATGTATTTATAATGTGATCTTATGTTAGTATGGTAATGGACACATATCAGATCTACATGCATAATTTATAAATTAATAAGTACATGTTCATTGGGGTATATGCTCAAAAAGTTTATTACTGTGAAGATGCATTTAAAATTTTTGTAAAAGACATATTGAGTTTTTAAAAAAGAAGTTCTTTGATTTGGCAGCAGCTAAATTTGGTATAACATTAAATGTGTCATAAATAAAGATAACTATTTTAGAAAAAAATTGGAGAATATTGCTTCAAACAACTATGCAAGACTGCTTTTTGCCTTGTCTCATACTCAATAACAAACTGTATTTACTTCATCTGGTCATATTATCTTTTAAATTCAAACTAGTTTAATTTAGTTAAAATTGGTATTTTCAGGAATTCATGAAGGGCTTTGGGCCATTTGCTGCTTTGTGTTAGTAGAAGGAACAGAGAGGCCTTGGACCAAGCAGACATAGTTCAAATACCAACTTTTACTTTATTGACCATGTGATCTCAGACAGGTTCTTAGTTTCTCTGAGGTTCAGTTTGCTCATCTATAAAATGGAGATAATGTTCATTTTATAAATTGCTGCAAAGTTTATAGTATTATAAAGAAATGGTTTGGCATTGGGCTTGGCATACAGTAGATAATTTTAAAATGGTAGGAAATAGAAATAGTAGCTGTAGACAACATTGTGGCCCAAAAGTCATTTCTCCTCTAAAATCAGATTGCACATAGTTTTGACAAAGTTTGTCCTATATTATTCTTAATTCAAGCTGGAAATTTATATGAGCATAGACTAAAAAGTGTTCCATAAATTCTGTAGGACAACTGCATATAGCCAGGTGGGTGGGGGATGCCATTTACATGGACTATGATTGGAATAGCTGCCCCTGGTATGTGTAGAGTGGCAGCCCAGGAGATATGCTGGTAAAAACTAGAGGGCCAAATACATGGCAGCCACAAGGCCAAGGGAAATGAATGCCAGGCCCACGCACGTGTTGGTGGGATACTGAATGCCTCTCTGCTTGTCCAATGCTCTCCACAGATCTGCACCCCTGACCTGGTGGTTTTCCTGGCTTGTGCCAACCAGAGGCTCAAGGAAAGATTACTGAAGCGTGCAGAACAACAGGGACGTCCAGACGACAATCTCAAAGCTACCCAAAGAAGACTAATGAATTTCAAGCAGAACGCAGCTCCATTGGTTAAATACTTCCAGGAGAAGGGGCTCATCATGACAGTAAGTTAGTTCTGCTCTTAGTGTCCACAAAAGAATGACCTGTCAGATTTCTAATTATCCTATGTTCTCATATAGAAATCCCTTTTGCTCTTAAAAGTGGTTTTTGGTGAAGTGTAAAACCAATCAAGAAAATCAATCATTTTTACCTGTTTGCCTTATTAAGACATAATGATTTTTTAAAAAGTCAGTTTGTGAAAGGTGATAAATTCTAACCTCGTCTACAATTCTGTAGTCCCTGAGTAAAAGAGTGTTTTTAAATGATTACTGGGGGTTGTTTTAAGCAATTCTTGCCCAACTTCTTAAATCTTTTGTCTTTGAAAATGTCACAAAATGGTAAGATTTATAAACAACAGTTGGCATAGTTTTAGAGTATATTTGGATTGTAAGTTTTGTTTATTGTGCTACCTAAAGAAATGAGATTCTGATTTGAGAAAAAAAAATTTCTGAGGGTTTGACTTGTCATAAAAAGTGATGATATATTAAAATGGGAGTCATTAATCTTTCTGCTCATTTATCAAATGCAAATATTAACAGATATAATACAGAAATCAGTGTTTTCCTAAATGTTTAGTTTGTTTTCTAGTTAATGGTATTCCATGTGCCAAGGAAAGATGACACTGAATCATTAGTTAATTCAGTTTTTAGAAATAAAAGGCTTAGCTCAATTGATGATTTCCCGCAATATCAGTTTCCAGTATTAAATCACAGGGAAACAAACAAGATTGTAAGCCATCTGAAGGAAGTTCTGTACAGGAAACCACAAAACCACAGCAGTTCCATGAGAGCAGAACCCTCCTCTCAGCCCTGACCTCTTCCCACCAGAACAAAGACCCTTGCGGGGGGCGGGGGGGGTCACAAGCCCCCATAGAGAATTCTGTGAAACCAATGCATGTGTATCCCAATAAAATACACAGACATTTTCCACATTTAAGTAAATCAACTGACGCCCATCCACAGAGCCGCTGTAACCTTACAACTCCTGGGTTAAAACTTTCTTCATTAGACTAGGATGCCCTTAGACCTGAAAGAGACAGTCATGACATTTGAATAATGATCTTTTTGCAGTCTCAAAATATTCATTACATTTTGCTCTTTGAGTCAAAGTTGTCATGTCAGAGAGTTGTAAATTTGATCTGAAAATTGTTCACAATGCCAGAGTTCATTTTTTGGTTTAAAACAGAGTAATAATAAAAATTGAGTAATAGGAAAGATTTAGGAAAATCAAGGAAAACATTTCTGTGGCTATTTTTGGTTGGGGGTTGTTGTGTATGTGTGTGTTTTCTCACCAATTACCACCACTGACTTCTGCATTGTATCATGAAAAAAAGAAATTTACCCTGTAGATCAAACCCCAACTGCAGTCTGAAAAGCCAGAGTTTTAATTGATGTTTGCAAGGCTTGAAGGTATTACCAGAGTGTTTCTGATTACTCCCTGCTTGTCACATTCGTCATCACAAGCAGAGCAGATTTCCCAAATGAATGCAGAGTGGGGATTGTTAATTCACTAATATTTTGCATGGAGGTGAAATGCCATTGCCTCTAATTGAGGGAGTCAATAACAATGTGGATGACAGCCTGTAACCTCACTGCTGAAACCAAATGAGCTTTAAGATAAACACCTCTAATTACCGGGAGAAGACTTGCCTTGGAAAGTCACCTTTTGGAAAGCAGTGAATACAGGCTAGGCTCTGGGGAATATAATTTGAAAAACAGTCTGACAAAGAAGCAGGTACTGCATCCTGAAACACTTGTTCTCTTTCAGAACTCAGATCATAGTTCGCTTTCGAAATTGAAGTGCATTTGATAGATCTTCTGCTTTTAAAAATGAGTTAAATATAAAAATAGTCATCCTGTGAATCACATGAATGTTAATATTTTAATAAAAAATCTGCAAGTTAATAGATTAAACCCAAATATATCCTTTTCCCTGTGGTCTCTCCACTGCCTGCCTTTGCTTCTGCCTGCTGCTCCTAGTGATTCATTTATTCATTTAGTAAATGTTAATTGAGAACCAAGATACTCTGTTAGATGCTAGGTAGGCAAAGCTAAATAAATAAGGGGTAAGGATCTTTGCTTTATTCACTGACATATTCTGAGCACCTGGAGTAGTACCTGCCCAACACATAATAACCCCTCCAAAAGTGAACTTGGCTTATAGTCTGTGGGAAAAGAGATACTAAATGATGGATTATCCAGTGTGATGATTGTGGAGTTATTAGGTGAGAGTGATTATTGAGTGTGAGAACGAGCATGGTTTCCTCACATATGTCATGCACTGTGTTAGGGACCAGAAGTCACTGTAGTGAGTAGAATAAACTTTCCCCACTCAGAATAAGAGGAATCATTTATCTCCAAAGAAGCCTTTTAAGAACCACAGGGACCATGTCTGTCCTTAATCCAGCTGAGAAATTTCATTTTGGTACTCGACTTCCTAGGGCTTTGGAGTCTCAACCCTCTCAACTGCAATCTCAACTCCACTGCCATTTAATAATTTCACGATGCCCACAAGGTGCTAAACTTGCTGTAAATTGTAGAGGATGTTACCAACATGGCAATGCTGTGGAGGTCAAATGAGAGAATGCATGTAACGTGATAATGGGTGGCAGTGCAGACACTGCCTGAGATGCACCATGCAGCCTCAGATTCCAGCTGTACCACCTGCCACCTGTGTGGCCTCCTGCAGGTTGCTTATCTTCTCTGTGACTTATCTGTAAAATGGACACAACCACCAAACCTATGCTCATGTGATTTCAAGGAGTAATGGATGTCCAGTGCTTAGAATGATGTTTGAAACATTGTAAGGGTAATTTGTTAATTAATATTATTTTATAGTTTTTGCATTTCTTCCTCTCAGTTCCTTCGCTTTCTCATGCTCATCTTCTGGAAACTATAATTACCATTGACAATTTCGTACTCTTTGAGGGAACTCTGTTGCCTTTTCTCTCATAGATAGATTATTGAATAAATCTAACATTCATAATTTAGGCTGTAAAAACTTCATGCCAAATTTACTTTTCTTTAAAAGTGTTTGTTAATCAGTTTTAAAATTGATCCAGTGTTTTCTTGAACTTCTATATTGCTGATGCAATCAAGCTATATGATGACTGTGTCTGAATAATGTAGTTTAATTGCAACAGATATCAGTCAATTCATTCTTTTTTTCTTTTTTACTTCATCATTGATTGGGCACTTGTTGATGGATTTGACTAAAGAATTAACTTCTTATTTTTTAGAAATATTTTTCCTAATTTTTGTATGTGTGTTAAAAATATCCCTTTGACTGAAGAGAAAAATCTAATAATAACAGCCAGGAAAAACGTGCTGTTGCCTGACTACTGTATCTTGTTGTCATGATTCCCGTCACATGGATCTCTTCATTTCTATTATTATGTTCTGTATACAGCATGAATTTAAATAACATGAAATCATAAAGCTTCTGTATTAGGGAATTCTGCATAGAATCTTCTCTGACATGTTTATGTGTTGTTTTTAACTTATCATCGTATTGGATAAAATTTCTTCTCGTATCTTTTATGGTTTTATGTTAATAATTAAAGATAAGGATGTGGTGAGTTGGTCAGATGTTATTCATGGGAATTTGAGTATTACTGAAACAAGGAAAGTTGCCTACTTAGCATTACCAAGTGAGCTGTGCCTCATGACATTTTGGGGGACTTGAATTTTATAAAATTACAAAATTCTTGAATAATAATTTCCCTTTAGTAGAAATTCTTTAAAGCCGCAATAAAAGTGTCTATTTTTTAAATGTGATTTTTTTATCTTTATTTTTAAAAGCGTTTTTAAATTTTTTTTTTAGTTATACACAGACACAATATCTTTATTTTGTTTATTTATTTTTATGTGGTACTGAGGATTGAACCCACACACTCTGCCACTGAGCCACAACCCCATCCCTTAAAAACTTTTTAAAACAAAATTTGTCTTTCTTTTAGTCATGCTTGGGTGGGTCTTTTGTTTTTGTTGTTGTTGTTTTGTTTTTGCGGTGCTAAGGATCAAACTCGGGGCCTCACACTTTTTAGGTAACAGGGAGCCATAATCCCCAGCCCAAGGCTTTGTAAGCTTGAAGCATTCTTTTGAAAATAAATGCAGTTTTGTTTATTTTTTGAAAAAGGAGTCTTTTTAAATGCTTGGAAAATGATAGGACAAGATGTAATGAATCTGCTATTTTTCAAAATATATTCAAAGCTTTACACCATTGAATGTTCCATTAAACTGGAAAAACAGGCCACTCTGCAGGGAAATGGCTGCACAGTTGTGTACATTGAACAAATGCTTCTTAAACGTGGGTGATAGTTAGTGAACAGCCACAGTTAACTTCAGACTGTGAAGTAAGCAAATGGTCATTTTCCTTCAGGACTTTTTGTAGGAGGAAGCAGAGAAGTATACTTAAAATGAGAAGGAAGCTGTAGTCACAGGATGTACAGAGAGGCTGACTAACTCATAGCCACGTTTACCAGCTGCAGCTCTTCAGGCAGGAAAGGTATGGGCTGAAAAATATCAAAATCAAGGTTGTTTCTTATTCACCAACACCAATTTTTCTGCCGAAGTAAACCCGGGCTATAGCAGGGCCCTATACTCCCTAATTTCAGTATTTACTAGATCAGAGAAAATATTTTTTTTTAATGGGGCTAGGATGAACTTGGATTTTTTAGTTTCACAAAGCGAAGGCATTGGAAGAAAAGAACCACTTACTCTTGCTGTTGTTTAAAAGGGATATTTCTAACACAAAAAGATTGAGGAATGGTATTTCTCCAGTTTCTAAACAAATGTTTGGCTGTTACAAAAACTACTAACATCTAACTTATTTTTTCTCATTTTGCTGAGGATTAGGGAACATTTCATTACAAACTAGCATTGGTGCTTGGGAACCACAACATAGAAGACACACTCTTGTGGAAACCTCCTGCATTTATTCTTTAGACATCCACCCTGAGTCCCAGAAAACCCCACTGGCAGGACAATTTTTAATTTGCCCCATA